GCCCCCCAGCCCGCCTACTACCCCTCCCACCACGCGGCCTGCGGCTGCGCCTCCTGCCGGCCGCCTCCACAGCCGCTGCAGCCGCTGCAGCCGCCCCAGCCTCCTCAGCCGCCGGCGCCGAGCCACTCCAGGGGTAAGTTTAACTGGACTCACATACTACGTGCCCTCGGGGAATAGGGCGCCAAACATTATGGCCTCCAATTAGGTTCAGGAACGCCATTGGAGTTCACAGGGACCCCATATGGGATCTCTATGAATGGTGATCCTAGGCCTAAAGTAAGGGGGGTCCATGATACTTGTAACCTCTTAAACGTTTCGGGCCCCACCACGCCTCGCCCGGACGGCCCCCACTCACTGTTTGTTTTCGCCCGCAGCCCCCCCGCCGCAGGCCGCGCCGGCCCCGCCCCAGGCCCCCCAGCCCCGCGTTGACGTCCCCGCGCGGGGCGCCGCCGCGGCGCTCGTGAGGCCGAGCCCCTCGCAGTCTGAAGGGCCGCCCGCCAAGAGGATGCGCGCCGTAAGTGGAGTGGACGGCGACGAGAGAGCCCAGTCAGCCCAGTCTCTGAGCAGCCTCTTGTTCCCGCAGGAGCGCGTGGAGACCGTCTCGCCGGTGGACCTGTCCGTGCGCACTGTGCGGCGGTCCGCCGACTCGACGGCCTGGCCCGACGTGGACCCCGAGCCCGAGGACTGCGACTCGACGGCGCTGCTGCAGCCGCCGCGGGCGCGGGCCGCGTCGCACGTGTCCTCGGCGCCGCGGCCGCCGCGCCGCAGCGCCGTGGTGCCGCGCATGCACTACATGCCCGACTTCAGCGTGGCGCAGTTCTTCCAGCGGGGCCCGCCCGCCGGCCCGCCCCGGCGCGAGGAGCGCGTCGAGCCGCCGCCCCAGGTGGCGCTGCCGCGGGTGTCCACGCTGCCGTGGCCGTCGGCGCTGCCCGCGTCCGCGTCGCAGCCCGTGGCGCACCACTCGCCGCTGCTGCCGAGGTACTCGTCGAACCGCAGCTCGCTGTACCCCAGCAGCTCGGCGCCCGCGCTGCCCCCGGGCGCCGCCTCGGGCTACCTGCTGGACGGGCTGCCCGCGCCGCCCGCCGCCCCCGCCGCCCCTGCGCCGTTCTCCGCCCCCGCGCCGTCCCCGCGGCCTCCGCCACCCAGCGTACCGGACGTCCCCGAAGGCCCGGCTCGCATCCGTACCAAGGCTGAAATGAAAATGGTGAGTCTCGCCTGACGGTTGAACCACTGCACGCGTGGTGTGGTGTCGCCTTGCGCGCCTGCTCACCTTGTCGTCCTCTTTGCTCAGCAACTCGGGGACGCCGCCGCGGAGGCGGTGCGGTCCTGGCTGGCCTCGTCCTCGCCGCTCGCCGCGGAGTCCGTCGAGCCCCCCTGTGCAGCCTCCAGTGAGTGCGCGCCGTTGCCCCGGCCCTGGCCTCCTCGCCCTGCGTGCCGACCGAGTGCCAGCCTTGCTCCTGTTGCAGCGTCGGGCCTGGGCATGGAGCCTAGCACGTCGGCCCTGGAGGACCCCCACGTCGTGCGCCGCGGCGTCCTGGACCCTGTCCGAGCGCCAGTCCTCGACCCCGTCCAGGTCCCCGCCCAGGACGCCGCCGTGGCCGCGGCTCCGGCTGCGGGGTGAGTTGTGTGAGCACCGCGATCACTCCTAGTCCTTTGGAGTTCAGTATTACAGCATGCCTCGCCTTTCCATGTCCAGATCGGCCACCCCCGACGCCACGAGGACTGCCGTCGTTTCCTCGTCGGCTACCTTGTGTGCCGATGAACCCCCGTTTGCCTCTGTGGCCCCCGTATTCGAGCCCCTGCCAGCTGGCGCATCGACAGTATGTATCCTCGCGCATAATCCTTGTCGTGATCTGTGTCAGATGAGCAGTGTAGACCAAAATTGGTATCCCTTAACTTTGGTTTCTTTCCTAGGCCATTGAGAGTGATGACAGCCAAGGTGCCTGGGCCCAATCTTGCAGGGACTTTGAGATGCAATTAGGAGCTGGCAAAAGTTTTACAAGTCCAAAGAAGCAATTGCAGAAAAACATCCAGAAGCAATCTACCTATACATGTGATAATAATTTGTATAATTTCAATAAGAAACTTGCAAGGAGCCCACCAGTTAGTCCAGATGCTTCTGAAAATCACAAGGTTCTCAGACAAGTTAAGAATATAGTATCGAGTACAGAATCAATAGTCAAAGTAAAGAATTCATCGACAAACTCCAGTGATCACTCTACTAGAAGAAATAGAAGGTTGAATAAAGTGATTAAGAATGAACCAGATTCTGATGCCTCAGAAGGAGCCTCATCAGTTATTGACGAGGACTGTGCTTCTCTGTCAAGTGATGATCAGTCCCTTAGATCTGCCAGAACTCGAACATCTGGACAAAGGTCCTCCAGGAAAGAAACTTTAGGCAAGAGAGACTTAAGCAGTAGAAGTCAATCGAAAGTTGAAATTGTCAGATCCCCAACCAGAAGAAGGAAGACGTCAAGCAAAGAAAGCTCTCCAGCAAAAACACCACTGAATGACCAAATTGATCTTAAAAGTGGAAACAATGCAGGATGCTCATCAGAACCTCAACCTTCTGAAGATGAAAACCCTGAAAAATTGAATGCTCCTCAGACTCAAAGTGTCAAAATTAGATTGCGTACTAAGATTGTGGAAGTTGAAAGAGTGTGCCTCCGACCCAAAGGGGACGGATCTGATTTCCGGCCAGGATGGGAGGAAGAAGTTTTTCAGTATAAACGTTCCCTGAGGATGCCTCCAGTTCTAATCAATATGTCCAAGAGATTTTCTGATGTGGATATGGACTGTCCAAAATCTCCATTGATTAATTCTGGAAAGGAATCTGCAGCTAATAGTTCCTTACCAAGCCGATGTTCAAGACCTAATAGTGAATTGGACGTCATATCCACCTGCCCAGATTTAGAATCTGAAGATGCTTTGTCCTCAGCTTCACAACCTGTCTCTGTTAAAAACAGAATGGGTGGTGGAAGGCATAGCATTGTAGACAAACTTGTGGAAAAAGTTTCTAAACCAGCAAGCAGGAAAAAAAGTGAAAATCTCAAAATTTATGACATTTCTGGAATGAAAGCTAAGCTGCAAAGCACCCTAAAATTAAAACTAAATGAACCCAGCACAAGTAGCAAAGATTCTAATTTAAAGAAGGACACTAACAAGAAGAAGAGCACTTCTAAGGTGTCTGAAGACTTCATCAAATCAGTTTTTGGAGCTGAAAAAGTGTCACCCAAAAGTGATTCAAAAGCACTGGATAATAAAAAATTGAAAGTGAAATCTATTCCAAACAAGAGAAAGCCAGAACGGTTACCTGTAAGACAGATATCTTTACGGAAGCGTATTTTAGTAATACCAAAAACAACAAATGGCAAACCATCAAAGAAACTGGATGGTACCCAAACTGATGGTATTGTATTAAGACCAAGAAATGTCCAGCAAGGGTCGAACACTCGGCCTGTCATGAGAAGCGCTGCCCTTGTACGCAGGAGCAAAGTTGTTCTAAACTCAAAGCAACAGAAGAATACCGTCAAAACAGAAATGATTAGTAAAGAAAGTGCTTGTGGAGGAGATACCAAGAAAAGTTCTATTGATGTTGAAAATTCATTGTCAAAAGATTGTTTGGATTCACAACCTCCTGTTATACGCAAGAAAGTTAGATTGAGGCGAAAGTTTCGCTCAGGATTTGATTATATCCGCAAAAAGAAGAGAGTGAGAAAAGATGCAAAAAAAATTGAAGTTGATGTTGAGAAAGAAAAAGTTAGTATAAAATTACAATGTAATCAATGCAATATATACATGTACATCAATTTAATATGTATACACTTTAACTAAATTTGCCAATTTTAATTAGTTTTTACATTGCAGATTGTGCCTGTTGTAGCAAGAACACCTTTAACTGAAGAACAAATTCAAGTGACTTTACGTAATTGGGTAATAAATCGTAGTCATGGAGATACTGTTCTTCATAGAGCATCCCGAGTTGGCTATGCGGTAGAACCAAATTTTTTCATTTCCTCTTTTACATTATTGTGTTTTGCATTGGATTAATTACTACCAATTCTTCTCTTACTTTCAGGAAGTTGCTCAGTACGCTATTGAAAAATTAAATGTCTCACCTCGTGTTGCTGATAATGCAGGGTACACACCATTGCATGAGGCAGCTCGCCGGGGTCATGTTGAGCTGTCTAAGATTTTGCTGGAGAATGGAGCAGATGTTAGTTGCAGTGCTACAGGAGGTATTAGGTATGTTTACCCGAAAGCATTCTCAGACTATTGTATTTATAGTGCAGTCTATCTCAAACTGCTACGGAAACAACCACAACATGTCTTGTTGCAAATGTGATCTTCATAATGGTATCACAATGAATGGCATTAACAATTGACAGGTCAGGTTGGACGGAAGTCTGTCGGTGTTTTTCTGTAGCAGTTTTGAATAGCCTTTTTTACTACATACTGGTGTTATTAATTGGAGACTTGCAACTAAAATTCATTATGCCACTTTTCTGTTCTAGGCCATTGCATGAAGCTGCAGAATCAAATAATGTTGAAATGCTACGCTTATTACTTGAGTACGGTGCTGATCCAACACTGGCTACTTATGCTGATGAAACTCCACTTTCAATTGTTGAACCTGACAGTGCTGCTCACAAGCTGCTACTGTTACATTTAGCAGACGTGCAGGGTTTGCCTGCTCCACCATGGAAATTCCATGGTCCTTCAACAATATTTGGTAAGTAAATACTCTTGAATGAAGACTTCATCATTTATCCAATGCGCTATCTCTAATCCTGTGTTGTTCTCTTTGTATTTTTGGTAGATCCTGTAACCTACAAAGGAGATCTTGCTCTTCAGTCAGCACCTGCTGTTGAAAGCGATTCAGAAAGTGAGATTGATATGTTTTCTTCAGAAGTCACACCGCCACCTCTTTATTCTTTTTGTGATGAACCTTCCTCTCAATGTTGGGTGCTTATCAAAGATTTGATGGAAGTACTCAATATTCAAAGTGAAGAGGAATTGATGCAACAGCTTAACGGAAATGCCCAAGATAGGCCTACCTCTTCTCAATACCAAAATGACTTTGTTCGAACAAGAGAAATAACTGTGGAAGAATTTCTCCAGAAGACTGAAACAGTGACTTTCTCTGCTCCATTAGTTAATTTGCCTGTTGCTGAGTGTAAAATTTGTCTCATAGAGTTTAATTGTAGGGTACGTGAACTTCTCAATGAAGAAACAACATCATTAGTGTAAAATCATGAAGACTTGATCGTATTAGGTATTTATTTTTCATTCAGAGACGTGTTAAAGATGCATTTTAATGTGTCTTGGTACAGTTATGTTTGTGTTTTTTTTAAAGTCTATGACATGTTGACTGTTTAATAAGAGTTTCACGGAACAAATCTCAAAATCTATATTTGGAAAATTCTTTGTTTATAATGCCATTCTTGGCTCATGAGGTATTTTTGTATAGGTTGTTTTGATAAAAAAAATTGTGTCCTTTATATTTTGTTTTCTATCTAG